ATTTTATTTTTTTATTACATCATATTATATTGTATTTGCATTGCATTATATTTTTTATTTTAATTTTTAATTCAGTGTTTTTTATACATTTTTTATGCTTACATCTTTTACTCATTATTTTCATTTTTAGCTTTTTATTCAGAACTTCTCTACAATAAAATCTGAAGAATTTGCTTTTCACATTTTATTATACATTAAAATAGCATTCCGAATATTATATCACCCACACGAACTCAACAAGCACCAATAAACAAAAAAAGAAAAAAACATATGCTTTCTTTATTTATAGAAATTTGCAAATATGTATGTATATTTAAATTGTATTGTCTAGCTATGAAATACCAGTTTCAATTTGGCTTCGATCAGGCCTCGCATTGTTTGATATGCTAAATTCTGCTCCGAACATTAGAAACTCGTTTAACAAAAGGCTAAATGAATAAAGGGAATGAGTTGAAAACGCTTTCGCCGCGATGTGTGTGACAGCGGCGATAGCTTAAAGCTTAACTGATTGAATGCTATACTTAAGCTTTCACCGCAAAATTCTTGTATATTAAATGGCATGTCGACCACTGTGCCGTGGCGCTGTTAATGCTTTTTACACTTTGCTGTTGTTTATCAATGCCTACGGTTATTGCCGTCTCTCGCCGTGTACCCTTACGTCATGTGCGAGTGTGTGTGTGTGTGTGTGTATATCTCTCTCTCACTCACTCTCTGTGTGGGTGAGCATTGTGTGTGTTTGGTTAGATTTAAATTGATGTTGGACACTTGATTTGTTTTTGTGTTAGCCAACCGCATTAGCTTGCAACGCTTACTCATTTGGCACTCAAGATACTAACGGCATGGCCGTTGTTGACGGTTAGCTGCGCGAATTGACAATTGCAATTTCCAATTGCAGTTCACAGTTCACAAATGTCGCGCGCGTCACGTACGCGTTTTAATTAAATGCCACTGAAGTTAGCTCTGCTGGAAATGTTGAAACCGCGCGCTCTGCATCTGAAAACGAAATCAAAGCAGCGACATTAACAGTTAAACAGCGACGCTGGCGGTGGCGGCAACGGTGACGGTGACGATGGGGCCCACTTGGCGGCTTCCCGGTTGACACACGACTAACCGACTAAAGCTAGCCCAAATGGCAGTCGCACGAAATCCAAAATCCAAAATCAAAATGAAAACCAAAACACAAACAATAAGCACAAAATAGATGTAACCAAAGCTAAAGAAACTGACAAACTGAAAAATAAAAGAAAACAAAAACAACAAAAAACGCCGGCAGAGACAGCGGCAGAACGGTCGCACCCCTCATCAAGCGGAGCCCCCGCAAAAACAGACGACGACGACGACCACACGATGACTTTTGAATAATATTTACATTTCGTGTGTGTGCATGCGTGTACGTGTGTGTGTGTGCGTGCTTAACGCAGGCAGCGAGCCGCGCTGTTAACGTGCGCGAAACAAAAGCTACAGCTGCAGCGTCTAAGGCAGCGAAGGCGAAGAGCGAACGAAACAAGGCACAGACACAAAATATAAATGACGAAATTATAGCAACAGCAGCAGCAGCAGCAACAACTACTTAGTGTATAAGTAATGCACATTAAAATGTGTATGGCAGAAGCGCAAAGCGAAAACGACTAGCGAAAAGCAGACTGCGAAMAACAACAACAGCAACAGAAGTAAACAGCAGAAGCTAAGAAAAACGCTGGCAAAACGCGCGCGACTTATGCACGTGCTACGCGCAAGCGTATGTGTGTGCGTGTGTAGGCAAGTGGGCATGCGTTTGTCAATAGAGCGCGTTTCAGTGCCAAAAGTACAAAGGAGAGAGTGAGAGAAAGACAGCTTGCTTAGCATTTGAGTTGATTTGTTGCTACTGCAGTGCTAACTGAAATCTTTACTGTAATAAAAAAACAGATATTTTACATTGTATATTATAAATTGTGAATAAATGAATTAAAATATTGAGCAAACTTTTTTTAACTGTAAAATAATTTAAAACAAAAATGTTATTTAACATGTAAATTATATAGATTATATATGTATGTACATATGTATGTATTTATTCAGAAAATATTTAAATATACATACATATGTACATATATACATACATACATATGCATGTACGTACATAAGTAAATTTATTCACTCTCAGCTCTTCTAAAATCAATCTAAGAGCTATTTGATCGTATGACCAGATCCAGTTATATTTACTGTAAAGCGACTCTTAGCTTATATTTCTATATAGTCGTACATATCTGTAGACAATTTATGTACATATGTTTGTGAAACTATGCAAAATTAGGTCAAAGATTGTTTTTAGCACGGAAACCCTTAGGCTTTATTTCAATTATGATCAACTTACATACGAAGCGTTTCTAGGTTTTGTAGTTAGCTCCGATAGGTTCAATCTTTCGGGCACGAGCATCTCGTACTTCTCGCTCCACCGTGCAGTAGAGAGACTCCTTCTCATCTTACCTGTATGTTTTAGTAATCGTCTCGAAACTTGCCAAGCGAATGTATCGATAAATATCGATAAATCTGCCAGCCAAAAATCAAAAGATCAACAATTTTAATAGAATATGAAATATATCTATATATATTTGCGCATACCACTCATTTGATCTATAATGTAAAAACTATATAGACACATACATATGTAGACAACCAAATGTATATATATATGTATATATACATACACATACAAGTATATATGTATACATACATATATACGTCTCATACATAAACAAACTATGCACAGCGAGTTGGATGGTTAACGATTGAGGATTGCTGGAATCTGAAAGAATTCAATGTATGTATGTATGTATGTATGTATGTTTGCATGTATGTATGTTTGTTTGTATGTATGTTTGTTTGCTTGTTAAGTGAAGCAGGCAACAGCGACTAGGCGGGACTCTCGAGCAGCGTGAGGGATGAGGTGGAGCTGCGGATGCTGCGCAGCTCGCACAGCTCGTCCATGAGGTCGCGAAAGAGCATCGGATTGACATTGACGCTGACCTTCATCAGAAGGAACCAATCGCCGATGGTCAGATCCCTGAAGACGTGCTGCACATGCTGTTTGGTCATATAGCGCAATTGGCTGCGTATCATCAGCTCGCGCAGCGTCCGGCTGAGCATCATGGCCAGGCGACAGAGCAGATTCAGGCCGGACATGAAGGCCATCAGCAGGAACCAGCACCAGAGGCACACGAAGATCTTCTCGTTCAGTATGTTCAGCGGCAGTATGCATAGATTGTCCATGATGCTGGCCGTACCGCTGGCCCCGTATTTCAGCACCTCGCACTTGGCGATCTTGGGGAAGACTCGCGACGAGATGTGATTCCAGCGATCCCAGTCGTACAGCGGTATCGTGGCCAGCGCATGCAGATATTTGCTCCAGAATCCATTGAGGAACACCTCCAGCGCCAGGATGTTGAGTATCTGAAATGGTAGAGCGAAAAGTGGAGTCAACCGCAGCTCGCTCAGATATCATCCCGGCTACTCACGCTGATCACAAAGTTGAGGATCTCGCAGAAGACATACTTGGCCATGTAGCAGTAGTGCATGTCCTCATAGTCGGTGGTAAAGTACTTAACCAGCAGTCGGAGGCGCGTGTTGTACGTCTGCTCCGAGAGCAGCGCCTCGCCCACCTCCGAGCAGAGCTGCTTCAGTCGCTGGCCCTCCCACACCTTCCACAGGCACGAGGGGAAGTAGAAGATGAACGATTGGAACAGCAGCAGGATGATCACCCACTGATAGTAGCGCAAATAGACGCGCTGCGTCTGGCCGCGCACCTCGGGCCCGACGCCCTCGGCTATCGATATCGCCCGCGCGTACTCCTCATTGTAGTCGGCCAGGCGACGCAGGCTGACCCGGCCGCGTCCGGCACGGCTGGTTGGCGGCGTCGGCAGCAGCTGGCGGGGATCGGTGGAGTTGTCCACCTTGATGATGTAGGTGCCCATCGTCCAGCAATAGGACTGCACATAGTTAATGTTCTTCTCCTCGCTGATGCACTGGATCGGATCCCCGAAATACTGACGGGCCGACAGCAGCAGGGAGCACGTCAGCAGGATTACCACCGTGCACTTGGAGTGAATGGTGAAGACGGCATCGTAGATGCGTATCGATTTGAATTGTAAATACTTGGACAGTGGCTTCACAGCCGAATACATTTCCTCCGCCTCAGGAAAGAGTACCTCGACGACTGTGTCCAATTCTCAAACTCCTGCTCAGTCCGTAGGCTGTAGGCTGTGGCGCTGTTGCTGCTGCTGCGTGACTGGCCTCTCCCTCTCTCCCTCTCTCCCTTGCACCAGTGCCCGTGCACCGTGCGCTGCTAATGTTGTCCTCTCACTCGCACTTCAGCTGTGCTGCTGCTTCTTCTTCTGCCTGTGACAGCTCGGCTCGGCTCCTGCTTCTTCTTCTTATTGCTATTCTTCTTCTTCTTCCTCCACTGCGCTGCAAGTTTGAACGGTAAGTTTTTACAGCTCGTGTTTTGTTGTTTTTGTAAATATAGTTTTCCGTCTATTTGTATATGTATTTATTTATTTATTTATTAATTTTTTTTTGTTTTTATTTTTTTATTTTTTTTGTGTTTCTGAGTTCTTGTGACTGTTGCTGTTGTTGCTGTTTAGGGTTCCTGCAGCTGACTTGCAACCGCACACTCACTTGCCGGCCTAAGGGTAGCGACACAAACAAAATGTTGATTGTCGCTCGGCTTTACATATTTGTGTGTGCTGCCCCTCATCATTACGTTTTACATAAAATATACGTTTACGTTTTCACATTTCAATTTAAACACACAATTCTCTAATAAATAAATATAAATAATATGTAAATATGTGTGTGAATATGTCATTTTGTTGCTTCTAATTTTAAATATTTTGTTGCCCCAGCTTCGATAGGCCGCATCGATGCGTATCGATGAACGAAAGCACATTCCACATTTAATCCGTGCATTTTCTCCTGTGGCAGCGCCTGAAGTCGAGCAACAAAAACTGTTGCATACTTTTAGGCGCGACTTGAAAATTCGCCCACAGTTTGACAGCCACTGCGCTGGCCACTTCATTTGAGATAATTGAGATGAATAATAAAACGCAAACGCTTGTTTAATTAATTTATTACATTTATTCTACAAAAAAGTATCAGTGTGTCTGTGTGCGTGTGTGTGTGTGTGTGTACTGCGCCCATAATCAGCCTTAATTAATTGATTCGTTTTGCGTTGAGGCACGTCCTTGGTGGCCAAAAAAAAAAAATATTTAAGAGAGAAAAGAAACCAAAACTTCAATTGCCAATTAGTCCAAGTTCAAGAATCCAATTATTGAAGGTATCTACAATTAGCAGCAACATCATGAAAAGAGAAACAACAACAACAAATATATGTATATATATATATTAAAACATATTAACAAAGCACACGCACAAGCAAACTAATTAGCATAAATCAAATTAATTTATTTGCCTTTGCGGCCCTGGCCAACGAGCGACATCTCGCACCGCWCACAGCCAATAAAACGAAAATAAATAATAATAGTAATAATAATAGAAAAAATATATAGCCAAAATATGTCACTGTGTGAACATATGCCAGCAATAAATGGAGCATTTACCTTTATTTATTTATTTTTATTGCAAATATTTGAAAATTCAATTATTAGCCAGATTGTGGTATTTGTATGGAAATGAGGCTAAAGAGGTTAAGGTTAGGATGTCCCTAGTGGGCTACGAACGGCTGGATAAGGAGGAATGTGATGAGATATGTATGAAATATGGAGACTCTGTCTATCTATCAGAATAATACATTTTCTAAATTGGGTATCGCTAGATTTTATAGTCCTTGAGAAGTACTGCTAAAATCAAGTCGAAATGGGGGATCGATAATAAGCAAATCGGATTTGTTATCGATATGTAATATGTAACGGATATGATTGTGATATAGATACAGAGTTATAGGATAGACAGATGAAAGAGGACACAGACTAGAGGAGAGGCGAGAGAGCATAGAGAGTAGAGGATGATGAATAAAAGATAGAGGAGAGAGAAACGAGGAGAGAAGATGGCAGAGAGAAGATAGATGATAGAGGAGGAGGAGAGGAGAGAGAATAGAGGAGAAGGAGAGACGAGAAGGAATAGAGGAAAAGCGGGAAAAGGGAATAGAGAATATAAGATACAGAAGAGAGGATAAAGGATAGAGATTGATGTGAATAAAAGATAGAGGAGAGAGAAACGAGGAGAGAAGATGGCAGAGAGAACATAGATGATAGAGGAGGAGGAGAGGAGAGAGAATAGAGGAGAAGGAGAGACGAGAAGGAATAGAGGAAAAGCGGGAAAAGGGAATAGAGAATATAAGATACAGAAGAGAGGATAAAGGATAGAGATTGATGTGA